CGCTTAGAGGGTTAACAAGAGGTAACGTTAATAAGAGGTAACATTAAGGTTGCTATTCAAAGGGACCGGGACCAGCAGAACTGTCCCTTAAATAGAGGTGTCCCTTACAGGAGGTATTAATGTACTTAAAAGCAGTTGCTATTGACAAAGACTTTCCTCCAAAGATTATTGACCAAATGGTCAAAACATTCTCATTTCAACACATCAAAAGTCACTTCCTCATTTTAGAAGATTATAAGAATTATGCTGCCATTCTTTTCTTTCAATTGATTAGCTATAAAAATTGCTCGCATTTACAGATATTCAGCTTTCGGGTCGTTTTCTCTTCTATCAACAATCGTCGTAGTTCCATACTTAAAGACTCCATTCCGGATGTGAACTGCGGGGATATATACAGGATTCCCTACCAGTATTAATTTACATCTGTCAAATTGAGAAAGACTTAAAATTTCGCGCTAAGTAACATGAAACATATGTTAAGGAAAAAGAAACACATAAATACTCTCTTCTCCAACACTGTTGGTCAGAAAATCCCATTTTAGATTTTTCTGCTGCCAAAATTATTCAAAAAGCATCTTCCATTGGCGAATTAGATTTTCGAAGGGGGTTTCACAGTCATAAAGTCTTTCAGTTCTCGTTAACGATCCCACTTCCGATCTGTCCTTACCTTTAACTTTTAAGGAAATTATTTTATAGTTCTTTTCATTTTCATCAGCAGATGAAGCCAGTAACTTCACTTCCTTCCTCTCATTCTTATCGCCTGAGCAAAGGCATATGTTTCGTCTTTGCGCTTTTGCAGCTGAAGAAAGAAGTTCTACCTTCGAAACGAGTCCTGCAATTTTATGAATATTATGCTGATTCTTTTTAATCTAACTCATTCAATTATCATATAATTATTAGCCTGTTTTTAAAATTAAGCATAATTTATAAACTTACATTGTATAACTATGCATTAGAGCCTATTCTTTCCTGTTAAAACTACACTCATGTGCATAAATTAAGGATAATTCGGAGTCACGCGGAAATCGAACTCTAAAATAAATATATCACCAGTAAAATCACTACACCAGTAAAACGCCCGTCCTCACCGTGCAAACATCGTAAGCGAATGCCTTCAATCGGAGGATATCACCCGTATGGTCTGGCCAGCATTCTCACCGGACTTGAATTCGGTAGAGCACGTGTGGGATATGCTTGGCCGAAGAGTAGCAGCCCGTCAACCTCCTCCTACATGTCTACCGGAACTTCGGAGAGCATTGCTTTTTGAGTGGTGTAATATCCCCCAAGATCAGATCGATAATTTGATACTCAGCATGCCTAGGCATTGTACGGACTGTATTGCATCGTCTAGGAGACATACAATGTATTAACAATCATACCAACCATGTAATATTGGTTTTTTGTAAATAGGGTTTTTTTTTTTTTTTTTTTTTTTGGTAATTTGCTCCAAGGAGAAAAAATCGCTAATTTTTTTAATAATATCAAACATATAGCATCTTCCTTTGCTCTTTTACCATTTTTTGAATAAATAAGCTTTACAAAATAAGTCAAATTTGTTTTGCTTCTAACTCTTCCTTTTCCTGATTTTGCATTATCCTTAATTTATGGACATGAGTGTATTTCAAACTTAACATTTTTAACAAAGTGAGGTATTTATATTATAGAGTCTCGTATTCTTTGGCAGCATAAACTAATGAGCTTTAGAAAGACTGCAGGTTTTGACCTCAGGTTTTGACAGCAGACAAAGCCAGAAGAAGGGTGTAAATGGCCCTTTATTTAATGACAAAGAGTTTCATAGACCACTTGGGCTTACATCTGACTTAAACAAATAATGTTGAACTTAAATGTAATTAAACTAGCCTAACGGCTTACAGGATAATTTAATAGTGCAGGAAGGCTCTGACTCGTAGAAGCCAGCAGAGCAAGCCTTAATGGCTAGAAGCACTCAACACCACAGAACTGTTAATCACTCTTAAGTCAAAGTAACAACGTGGCCTTCAAGGAGGCATAACACATTCTAATATCGTTTTCTGAAACCTTCGCTTAAATAACACTTCTATCTACCTTAATTTGAATAACCTCGCACTAGATGAATAACATTCTCGCAGGAAAGCGTGGGTGAAAGTTGCTTTAATTTAACTATTAGTTAAAACAAATAAATAAATCCTCACACTACCATGAAATTAATATATAGTTTATTCCGTAGTTCTACAAAGCTGAGGCTTGTTAAAATCGAAGTATTGTGACGAAATATTAAATAATTCTTTTACATGATCTAACAGCTGCCCAACAAGCATAGTGGTTAGCGGCACTGACTGCTGTGCCGAAGGGCCCGGGTCCGAATCCTGGAGATGGCCTAGATGCTTGTAAATGTATTGTATCCGTGGGGCATAGGGGGCTCTCTAAATATGCGGCCAGCCGAAAATCTTATTGAGAGGTTGGTGGTAGGGGAATAGGGGTGCAAGACCCTCGACCCGTCCCCCGGGGCGCTGTTCATCAAAATTAGGGGCGGAACTGAGCCCAATCACACTGTATCTTGTAAGGTATTCAAGGGTGTTGCCAACGACAAGCGTAAAACTACCGCTTCTTGCCAGGAGGATTTTCGTGGGCTTGGGCTGACTATAGGTCAGACAAGTGAGCATTAGCAACAACAAAAACATATGATCTAACGTTATCAGATATTTTGATTTGCTATTTTTCAAGTTTTTAACATGATTTTTCATATTTTTTGATTTAAAAGAAAAAATATATAAAAAGTAAAATGTAATTCCATTTACAACATTATGTATTTTGCAGAGATTCTAGGATAAATTAGATTTTTTTCAAAACTGAACTTTTTTTAGGAACAATTCTATTGCACCAGTTTGATCGCAAACATTACTCCTGTTCTAAAAAAGTCTTTTTTGTTAATATTGTTATTAAAAGGTTATGCAGCATATGTAAAACAATTAAAAATTTAGCAACATTTTTAATTTACCATTTAGTAATTTTATTGTATTGCTATGATTAACATGATAAGCTGGGAATAAATTAATTTTAAAGACAGTTTAATACCTATAATTAGACTCAAATATTAAATTTGACATGTACACATGTAAGTTAAAATTTTTAAACTCTTAAATGCGTTTAAAAATTCTGAGGTGTAAGGTAACTGCATGCGGCCATACATGTAACTGCAATTGTATTTGCTTTTCAACAGTTTCGAGAATTCGAAGGTACTGGAAATTTCTCCGCTGAGGCGGGGGGAACTGTGGAAGACCGGATAGAGCAACAAGTTTGAGATTTTAGCTCAGAGTTAAGTTCAGAGTATTGAGAGATCTCCGTGCCAGCTTCACTCGTCAGATACAGTATGCCTTGCATTGTTATCAGTGATAACACTTGGTTGTGCTGTGTCATACCGAGAAGAGCTGTATGAGTACTTTTGTGAAAAGTTTCAGAACTGCAAAGTGTTTCTTTTCAAATAATTATAGATTTTACGTAGCTATTATCGATTTACGCATGTAACAGTATTTAAACTAAATGTGTTATTCACGTTCAGTTTCTTTGTAAAATTTTCTTTGATTTTTGGTCTCTTTGCATACTTTCATATGTTTCCCTCAGCAAAGTTAAAATCTTCTTTTAAAAATCTACGGTGTAAGTAATAAGACTATTTTTTTAAATAAAATAAAACATAATGGATTCCCAGGCTATCATTATAAGTTATAATCAATTATATATGTGGTTACTGCACAATAGCGCTAAAAATGTTAAAAAAATTTTAGTGTTATTTTTAGAAGTCCAAAATTTTAAAACTATAATTGTTTGTAACAAATGTAATGCCTCAGATTCTTTAAGTAACTAAAAAAATATTTTCTTTAAAATTAAAAGCGACAAAACCTAGATATGTTTGTTGTAAACTAGATATGTCGTATCTACGAAATAGTAATGCTTACGTAATAAGCATCAAACAGAATAAAAATTTCAAAATTTAGTAGTAATCACAAGAGGAAATACGTAGTAGTATTATAGTTAGAACACTAAAAACTGTTAACAGATGACATAACTCGTATTCATTTTATTCATTGCTTTTAGCCTAAAGGAATATTAGTCTCAAAACATGATTTTACGTTTATTCATTTTAAATGTCGTCCACTATAGATGCTTTGTTTTACTTTTCATTTGAGTCCGTTGCCATTTGGAAAAATGTAAAATGTGCATCTTTCAAATTTAATCTCTCTATTATTGATTAACAAACTAAGCTATTTAAAAGCAATAGATGCAGTTCTTAAGGTTATTATTATTATTATCTACTTTTTAATTTGATTGATTTAAATAAAAATGCATTTAATATACGATATTTTGAATTTAAAAACATTTAATATTTTTATAGAATTACATTATATATATTGTTTTACTTTTCAAATACACAGAAGCTGTATAACGTTCTGATGTTAGTCTAACTGTACATTCATTTAGTATCATCTGTTCTGTATTAGGTATTTTGGATTAGGTATTTGCTTTAGGTATTTTGTAAGCGTTTCAATTAATTTATCATAAATATGTATATTTATTTAGATGGTTAATTTACCAAGGAACGTATTTTTTTCCGCTTTAAAATTTAAAGACTGCACAGTCTCAAAGAGGCTGTGCAAATAAAAATATTAATAGTATGTTGATAACAATAATATTTTTATTTCCTTTATTAATGAGTTGATGAAGTTTCAAGTTCTGCTGTCCTCATTTTAGTCAAGATTTGAACGCGCATCCTTCAGTCCACATTGCGAAATGTTTTTTATTAATTGAACTTTAAAGAAAATCCATCATTTGTTTTCTTTGCACATGGAAGCTACTTTACACTTAACTTTCGTTTTATTACGAGATTTGTATATTTTCGTATGTTTGTCCGTGCACAAATTTACTATTCAGTATAGACTATGGTCAGTAAAGAAATTTTTGATTGAAATATAAATAGTAAAAATGCGTATGCCTCAAAAGTTCTTATCGAATATCTTTTTTATAGGGCCTGGAATAGGAGAAGCATATTCTTCTTGCTGCTGTTAAGCCTCACATGGACTGCTGGTATTCTGTTTATAAATGATGAGTCAGTATTCTTGGCTTACGTATTTTCACTGCTTAATAGCGTACAAGGAGTCGCAATTCTGATGTTATATTGTTTTCAAAATGAAAAGGTAACAAAATAATTTTTTAAATATTTTTCCATCCTTCTTATCGCCATGTATTTATTACTTATATCTTTGAACTATGAATTTGAAAATATCTATTCATCAGAAAGTAAAAACGCTGATTCAGTCAGTTTTTCAGTTATTAAGTTATTCATACCTTTTGTTCGCAATTTTCTTTCGTAATTCTCATAAGAATAATTTTTACTTTTGTTTAGTGTCTTTTGTTTGATATGCTAATCCAAAATTAAGGAATAAAATATTTCTAAGCACAAGGCGTTTATAACTTCTGAGGAATCTAGCAAATTGGAATTACTTGTCCTCATATCTAAGGAGTAATCATAGAAGTTAGTTGTAAAGAATTGGTGAGTTATCACCTGGCACTGCTTAAGTACTATGACACAAGATAAGACTCAAAGTTAAAATCTGACATAAACCTTAATAGCAACAATTTTGGGAGAAAACAATTAAAAACTGGGAACAAAACTAAACTGTACGAGCTGTTGCTAATTAACTACAGCTGCTTTCTGATATGCTAAAATTAAGACGTGTTATAACAACAAAATCTACGCAGATCTGCAACACAGTTTGGGTTGGCTGATCTTATAACGCATAAATGGGAAGCTAGCTAATCTGCTAATACATTTATTACGAGATTTGTATTATTTTGTATGTTTGTCCGTGCACAAATTTACTATTCAGTATAAACCATGGTCACTAAAGAAATTTTTGATTGAAATATAAATAGTAAAAATGCGTATGCCAAATTTTCAGTAACTTGAATTTCTACTCCGCGAACAGCTTCTGCAGTAAGACAGTAGTATTCCGAATAAATTCCGAATGAGCTAATAGTTAAGATTATATCCTAGATTTAAACTATGCCACTTGCTATAAAATTTACTTAAGCATCTGATCTGAACGATTATAGTGACGAGAAAAGGAATAAGAAATTAATATTTAAACTAACTGTTAGTAAAATATAAGTTACAAATGTCCTAGGCTTACGTACGAGTATAAAATCCGCGCTACTTAGGTTAGCTTGTTAACACTCTGAATGCGGGATCCCTGAAAAACACGTTCACCTTTTATACTTTATATACGCGAAGAACGTTTTCATCGCTTCTGTTGAAACTAGGATTTCAACTGCGATCTGTTTTGTAGGAAGAAAACGTATGAACTTTTTTTTACGCTTTTATGAATTTTCTACCCGCGGTTAGAGGTTAAGGCCTCCTTTCTTATTGTATATATTAATTGTCTAAAGTATACACAATATTTTCTCTCTCAAAAATCCTCAGCTTGGGGTAGAAGTCCTTAGTTTTCTAAGGAGATTATTTCATGGTACTTTATCTGAAGCTCAGCTATTTGAATAGTATAGCAGGCTATATCACACTGAGAATATAAAATTTGTTGCTTATGGAAGCCAGATGTAAGTTAAATATGGCTGCGTGTTTTTTTCCCCATTACATGGCTGATATTTTCCCTTTACATCTAATAATAATTATTATAATAATTCAGTATTTCATACTAATGACTGATATCTTTTTCAACTCATGGCTGTTAGTTTGGTAATGAACATGAAACACGGCGTTGAAAGCCGTGCAAGCCTTTTAACTCGCGAAAGCAAATAATATTGTTTTGACAGCGTGAAGAATGCTTCATTTTGTCAAAATAAGAAGTATTTCATAATCATACTTAAAAATGGGAGACTTTTTAGGTGACTGATTGTAAATTACCAATAGTACTTGTAATTTTTATGACGTGAAATAATCTAAAACCGACCTTCCAACCTAACGGTAACCACAGAGTTAACTAACTTATCAGGCGAGTTACCGCTCCGTGCAACTGTTCAGTTCACAATGCACAATTCTGAATTCAAAATCAGACATTCAGTTAGTCAGTCAAGGGGGTTTCTCAAATTTAAAATGTTAACTCAAACTAAAGCTTCCTTTCCATTATATAAAATGCAAAATTAGGTGACTTGCGTGATTGTTCAATTTATACTGATTAGCTCCTAACCTCCCTACCTATATAATCTCCTAACTCCCAAACTGCAACACGTAGTCGAGTAAATTATATGAATTCGCAAAACAACTTACCATAATACAGTAGTAGTAATCCTAGTCATTCACAACGCTGCAGGAATGCTTATTCGGCCAGCACCGCACAAGCTGCTATAGACTTATGTTAAAGATTAATCTTTTATTCTAATACTATGTTGCTTGCTATTGAATTTACATACTGTTTTTCGTTTAAGCGAATACTGTAACAGGAGCCGAGAAGATTAGGGTATAAGATAACTCTATACTAGTTATTAGTAAAGCTTTAGGAATAATTGTCACATTGCTATAAAACCATACACTGTAATAATTATAAGAAGGGAGCCAAGCACCATAATTTGCGATTCCAATGTCTCACGTGTATGTCTGAGTAAATATTTCTTCCCCGTAAAAAATCAATTCCAGTTTTCTTTATTATGCATTGCAGTCTGAAAAAGACAAATGTACGTCAGCTTATTGTTCGGGTAAAATGCAGAACAATGAAGGAACTGTCGGAAACGAATGAAATTTATTCCACATATTACTGATAGTGATACAAATAAATGATCAGATTTATAAGACAAAAAAGCAAAACGAATGTTAGAAATCAGTACTTTTTGTGTCCACTAAGCTGAGCCGATGAGAGCCTGTACGCGTCGTGGCAATGAATTATATAGGTTCTAATTATAATCCTGGGAAATGGCATTCCATATGGCTTCGATTTTGATGTCAAAGTTCAGTCTTGGTGTGTGTTCCCCACCAACTGTATGAGCGAGCTTAGTGTGTTCCCCACTAGCTGTACGAGTGAGCTTAGTGTGTTCCATACTAGCTGTACGAATGGCATTCCATATGGCTTCGATTTGACGTCAAAGTTTAGTCTTAGTATGTTCTTCACCAGCTGTACGAGCGAGTCGCCGACTGTTGAAATCCCAGACATGTTGAATGGGCGGCCTACCTGGTGATTAAGCAGGCCATGGGAGAAACGATATCTCTTATGCCCTAAAGAAGGCCTGTGCAGTCTGAGAAACATGTGCATTGGCGTTATCGTGCTGAAATACAGCTCCCGGAATGCGTCGAAGAATAGGGAGGACCTTTGGCTCCACAACTTCCCTTATGTAGCGATCAATGTTGAGGTTGCCCGCAATCTGCACAATTTTACCCAATATCTCCCCACACCATGATGCCAGACTTTTGTGCGGTATGACGCTGGATAACACACTGTGGGAGCAGACGTTCCCCTCTGTAACGTCTGATGCTTACTCTTCCATCATTATATTCCCGATTGTTACGAGATTCATCGTAGAAAACAACTTATTGCCATAGAGCACGCCATGCATTGTGTTGCCATGCCCAATAAAGTTGGAGACATCTGTGATTCTAACAGGGAAATCCTGCGTGTAGAGGAACTCTTGCATGCAGTTCATGCTGCGACAGACGGTGACGAACCGTGGAGCTAAACAACACAATACCGGTAGCCTTGCTCCAGCGTTGTGCTTACACACGAGAGGGCGCTGTACGATCCGTCACGGCCATGCGGATGATATGTCTGTCGTCCTGTGCCGTTGTGCTGTTGCGTGCCTTACTGCTACTGCCCTACTGCTTAATCCATCTTTAACCACCCATATAATCTCATTAAAGTCCTCTAACAAGTAATTTCTACAATATAATCATAGTACCCAAAAATATTTATTTATTGAACCAACTTATGGCTAATAATCGTATAATACTGATGATTGTTCGTATCAACAAATAACGGACAAATTGTTGGTTTTTTAATTAGAGAGGAAGGACTTAACTAACCATTTCCTCTCAACACTTCTTCAATACTAACCATTTCCTCTCAACAAATAAAATAAACGCTGTACTATGCAGCGAGGTCCCAGATGATTTTTCATGTTTCCTGCTTCGAAAAGCGTAACAGACTGTGCAGTGGCGTTCCAGCTAAAATGTGATGGAACATTACATGTAATAGCTGGGGGTGTCATCGACCGAATTTCTTGTTTTTGCCTACTTACCTTTTAAGGTGGGGTAAAATATGGCATTGATCCTGTGTGTACTCTTGTGATGTACAGTTGGGGCTGTTTAATTGGTTATTTACAGTTTGCGCCTATTTTGATAGCATTATCCGAATGATAACATTAAACGATGAGAAAAATATCCTTCAAACTAGCAAGAGAATTTAACTAATTTAATATAAAAATATAAAGAAACGTATAAATAGGTATTTTCAGTATCTTTTATGAACTGTTCATAATGTCTTTAACGCAAAAGCTGTTCATTATCAGCTGTTCATAGCTTTTTGGAAATTATTTGACCGATGCTGTACTCTTAATCTTAATAATCGAAAGTAATCCCTCATTGAAGAGAGTTGTTAATCCCCTCTCTCCTAAAAAAGAAAGGATCGGGTCTTATCGCCCCTACAAAGTCGATAGCATTATTCAAAATCTATATCAAAATAAAAACATTTTTTGTGCCTAATTTTTAAATGGTTGACTGAAATCGAGACCAAGCTACGTTGCAACTCAGCTTCTCACTTGGCGACATATTTTTATAACTTGGCAATTTGTATAATCCATTTGACTTACTTTACACGGCGAATTTAACTTTTATTTGGTGACTTTAGTTTAAAAACTTACTTCATAATAGTTTGTTCATATTAGTAGAGTTGTGATAACAATAAGCGATTTATTTTCTGTGTTTTTGTATGCAAACAGAAGGGACTTCGATAAATCGATGACAGTATCCGAATTAACTACGATCACACTGAGCGGCGTGTACTGTAATGGTTAGCACATTTGGCTGCAGTCTTCCTACTCCTACAAGAACACTTGCTTGGCCCAAACACCAGATTCAGCATTGCAAATTTGGGATTATACAGGGTGTTTCATAGATCATGGGACAAACCTGGAGGGGTGGTGGAGCGTACTAAAACATGCATTTTTTATAGGAATGTAGGGTCTAAAGTGACGGGTT